CTAAGAGGTTTTTGCCTATGTTTTTTTCTAAGAGTTTTATGGTTTCATGACTTACATTCAGGTCTTTGATCCATTTTGAATTTACTTTTGTGTATGGGGTTAGACAATGGTCCAGTTTCATTCTCCTACATGTAGCTGTCCAGTTTTGCCAGTACCATCTGTTGAAGAGACTGTCATTTCGCCTGATACCTTAATTTTAAAAATAAATATAAATAAATAAAAATAAGAAGACCAGAATAGTGTTGGTGAGGATGTAAAGGAATTGAAATCCATGTATTTCTGGTGGGAATGTAAAATGGTGAAACTGCTATGAAAAACAATTTGACAGTTTAAAAGTTAAACATACAATTACTGTATTACCCATGAGTTCCACTCCTACGTATATACCCAGGAGAAGTAAAAACATATGTCTGCACAAAAACTTGTACATAAATGTTCACAGCATCACTATTCATAAAAGCCAAAAAATGGAAGCAATGTAAATGTTCAGTAATTAATGGGTAAACAAAGTAATGTGTACATACAATGGAATATTACTCAGCCATAAAAATAAATGATGTACTGATGCATCTTCAACATGTATGAACCTTGAAAATGTTCCACAAAGTGAGAGAAACCAGATGCAAAAGGTCACATGTTGCATGATTCCACGTATATGAGATGTCCAGAATAGGGAAGTCCATAGGGATAGAAAGTAAATCAACGATTACCAGGGGAAAGAGGGGAAAGAGGCAATTGGGACATACAGGTATTTTTTTAGAGTAATGAAAATGTTCTGTAATTAGTGATGATGGCTGCACATTGTTAATATAGTAACCACTGAACTATACACCTTAAAAATGATTAAAATCGTTAATTTTATGTTACATGAATTCTATCTCAATAAAACTAAAAAAATAAAGATTGTGGTAGAGCTAAAAGTGTTTTCAAATCTGCATTTTCAATGAAAACTATCTCCTTAAATCATCTCTAGAGATTTCCATGTCTAAATAAATTATAATCATCTTTCTTTACTTCAGGATGCTAGGAAAGCGTGTAATGATGCGACACTTATTCAGGTAAAGTTCTTGTTTCCTCAGTTCATTTTAGTAATTCACTTGAATCAGCTGGATGCTGATGCATATGATATTCATATTATTTTTCTAGTAACTAATTAAAAAATCTCTGTTTAAAACACTGTACTTTGTTAGATGCTGTACAAATGCTGTTTCAAGCATAGTTTAAATAGAAGTCTGGAAAAAGTATAAAAACATGTAGACTCATACAGTATGTTTCTCTTTAGGTAGTTCTGATTCTTTTTGATATGCCCTTATTAAGCTTTTTTTTCTTATATAAACTCTTAGGGAGTTTCATTACTTTAATTAATGTTAATAATTTTTATTAAGGAAATATATGCTGTACAAATATAAAACTGGCTTTTTTATAGACAGTTAAAACTGTAAATGTTTTACCTTTTGGTCATCTTTTGTTAGATTTTTATTTGTGGCTGGTTGTTTACTAAGGTTGGGAGGTATGTCTGCTCTTTTTAGTTAATAGTCTAGAGAAGATACATGGAAAGGTGTCAAATATGATCATTTTAAGTAATCATACTTTTGAACAATATATTGATCCTTTAACAACTATGGAACTATTTGATTAAATTACCTCTAATCACAATGTCTTGCTTTTTTCCTATTATTTCTCCTATATTTTATGAGCTATGTCTCAGGCAAAGAATAACATTCTTGTTGCTTCCTAAAGATCACATCAAATATGGATTCCGTGGGTCGAATACAAATGCGAACAAGACGTACACTGAGAGGTCACCTAGCTAAAATCTATGCTATGCACTGGGGATATGATTCAAGGTTTGTACCTGCCATTTTCAAAGTATCAGCAGAATTATTTGTGTTGAGAATCATCATTTGCACCTTCCTTGTTTAAAAACAAACTATTTATGAAGTGTTTGCAGAAAATGCATCAATATGAACACTTTCACTAAAAATATTCACTAACACTTTAAAAGCTTAGAAATCCTTAATATGGAAAATAAATTTACTTTTTGAAAATATCCTTTTTCAAATAATCCAGGGAAAATGTAGGATTCCTTTTCTTAGCAGTGGGGTATTATACTTTGATCTTACTATGCCAAATCAAAACATGGTTTTAATATGTTTTATTGTTTATCAATCTTGAAATTTCAGTTAATAACCAAATATTTATTAAATCCTGCTATTTGTAAGTTACTGGATATTGCTATAATGATTACCTAAATTCACAAAGGGTGGAATTACAGTAAATAAAGACATTTTCATTGAATACATCTTCTATTCCCCTAATGCCAGCATACAAGGGTGCATGTGTATGTATATGTGTGCATGCATACACACACACGGCTGCCATATGGCTTTCGGTTAAATGGTTGATATTCATGATTTACTTCTGTTCATAGGGTTTCAGTGCTGTCTGTGTTTTTTTCCAAAGTATCTGGCCATAGCAGGTTGGCCTGCTGCCATGCTGGTTGATGTGTTCCTTTGATTTGGGTAGTCTTATTGGGAAAAGTCCCAACTAAGAAATTCTTTTTTAGTAGAAGTTATACATTTATTCTCTTCAGCCAGGAGAAACTAAAAATATTGCTGCCTGTTGCTAATGCTTGGCACATCTCAGTATAAACAGAAAACTTGAGTCCAGTAGTATAGAACATGTGCCTCTTAAGGGGATAGATACAGTTGTATAATTGATAACTGACAAAAAGCTAGGCCAAATGTTTTATTTTTAAAGAAGTATAAGATAAAGATAATCTGCCCATGGATACAGCAAACTTTTAAGTCAAAATACAGTCACTTGAAACAATGTTAATGGTTCTTATTTCCTTAAAATTTTCTGAAGACTATTAATCTTCATAAAAAAACAGAATAATCACCAAACAACCTGTTACCTTGTCTTCTTACCCACTCTGTCAACTCAGTACTTAGCATTCCTCTCAGCTCCACTGCTGATGGTGTCAGTTGATTTTTCAAGAATTTACTTCAGGTTCCATTCCTGCCCTACTGTTAGATTTTCCTTTTCTTAAAAACTTTCGGTAATTGTGTGTAAGAACCTGATGATGTCATTTACCTGTAGGGAAGGGAACTGTGGCTGGGGGATAGCGACAGGGAGGTGACTTTTTTCACTCTATATCCTTTTGTATCTTCCGAATTTTAAACCAGAATAAACAATTTCCAAAACCAAAAAAAAAAAAAAAAAGTTGCAGTGACTAATAATTGTTTAGTCCAGAGTTTGTATTTGGCCCAGCAAACAAAGCTTTCAGCAGTCTAAGCCTGCTCTACTTTTCTAAACTGTTTTTCCCATTTCTCACAAACTTTATACTACTGGAAAATTCACAATTCCTGAAACACCCATTGTATTTTTCCAGCTCTTTTCATTGAATGTACTCGCCCTCCTCATGGAATACAGACTTTTCTCTATAGTTAGTTCTTAAAATTCTATTTTCCAAGATGCATTAGCTTTTTTTGCAAGACTACTTGATTGATTCCACTAGTAGTTATTTATCTTTTACTTTCCTATGGCATTTATTTTATACCACTCCTCTGATAATTTGTACCTATTTGATTTATTATAAATATGCATAAGTATCCTATCTTCACCAGATGGTAGAGGCCTCAGGGCAAGAGGTGTATATCCTGCTTTGTACCCAAAACACTGCCCTGCATTTATAGGTTCTTGATTGATATTTTTAGATGGAATGAAATATGGTTAGCCTTACATGTACCCTATTGTCATTAAATTTCAGTGAGAGTATAATATAAATACTAAACCAGTCAGCTAATATCTACCAGATTGTGAATAAGAACTAGAATGCTGTCAGCATGAGAAAGTTGAATCATAATCAGCTACATTTTTAGTAAAACATCTAAATTTTGCTACATTCTTTGTTATGTTGAAAACTTTTGGCACATAGAATAAGTTTTTTCAAGTTGGGAGGATATTTTCAGGTATCAAGTTTTTAGTTAGAAAAATTATTTTTTCTTTTCTGAACTGTTTTACATTAATGCAGTGTATAACTAATTTTAACTACTGTTTTTCCTCTGTGAAATTGTTTTTGTGTTTGTTTCTCTAGGCTACTTGTCAGTGCTTCCCAAGATGGAAAATTAATTATTTGGGATAGCTATACAACAAATAAGGTAGAATTTCTTAATCATTCTCTTAAATGATTAAACCTTTTATTTGGTTTAATGTCTATGGATCATTTCCTTTATTACTTCAAACTTTAATCTTCTAAGATAAATTTATTGCATTTGTTTTAATCTAGATCCTCGTTTGGTTTTAATATTTAGCCCTTTTTAATTCTCAAGGACAACTACTGGAATATTCATTTTGTTTTTCTTGAGTGTCATATCTCATATTTGAATGTTGGAGAAGAGCATGCAGCAGTTTTACATATAAATGATTTTTGAAAGATTTCCATTTCCTAATGAAGCAACAACCTTGAGATTTTTATTCCTAGTTGTGGCTATGTTGGAATGCTAGTGTGAAGTTCTTCTTTGGACGCTAGGCATTGGTTTGTATTTCCGGACTGCTCCTAAGGTACAGGAGGTTGGAGGCAAATTCCAACTTGTTTGGGCCTCTAGGTGGTAAAAACCAGTGGGTCCTCCAGTCATGCCCCTGGAAGGAATCCTTGACAAATCAAACATCTTTATATTCTATGTATTACTTATATCACTATTTTTATTAAAGAGCTAAAAGGACTATTTTGTGAAGTAAACCATAACTTCAGCCTGGTTGAGATTTTAAAGCTAGGTGAGACAGATTTGTAATACAACTTTTTTTTCTATATTAATTGGCACTGAGCATGTGTCTTTCAACTATATTTTCCTAAAACAAAAAGAAATTACATTTTAAAAATGCTATTTTAGGTTAAGTGAGAGCACAGTTGTAATCACATGATGTGTTGAGACTCAGTATGGATCACTGAGCCTTGCTATTCTCATACACCTTAAATTTTGCCACCTGACCTGCAAATAATTGGTATTACATAACAAGGCACCAGCCAATGGTGTGAGATCAGTGCAAACTATTACCATTGTTTAAATTCAAGCCCAGAGTGTGTACCCTGTTATTAAAGGACATAGTGCCATCTCTTTGTGGAAGAGCCACTTTAATAGACTCTCATACTTGTATTGTTCTGTTATGTTAAAGGAAATTCCTTTTGAGCACTACTGCAAGAACAATTTTCCAAATTCTTTAACATTTGCCACTTAATATTTCAAATGGCTACTTTAGCAATGAAACAGCCTATGTCCTTTCTTCTCTGAAAATAATAATTTCCGAACGCACTGAAATCCTAACGATTTGATCATAATACAGAAAAAAGAATAGGCATTTTAGTGTGCAATAGTATTCTGTTTTTCATTGTTCACTTTCTCAAACCATTACATTATTTTATTTGGGTTATTTTTAGATGCATTTTATTTTTGTTAATATTTGTTTCATTGTAAATAGGTTTGAAAAATTAATGACTGTTTTTTGTAGTCTTTACTTTGAAAGAGTTTTTGTGTATTGTATTTGTTCTCCAGATGCATGCTATTCCTTTGAGGTCCTCCTGGGTGATGACCTGTGCTTATGCTCCGTCTGGTAATTACGTTGCTTGTGGAGGACTGGACAACATCTGCTCTATATATAACTTAAAAACCAGAGAGGGAAACGTGAGAGTGAGCAGAGAGTTACCGGGTCACACGGGTGAGCCTCACTAAATATCGTCTTTTTCTCCAAGCCTGACTCCTCCTGAACAATAAGTGGATCAAGGAGAACAGATGACAAATTGTGTTCAACTGGCTAAAGGATGTATATGAATTAAGCAAGAGTAGAAATTACTATGAATCAGCAAAACACTAACTATACAAACAATGACCATAATTCTGTTTTTCAAAAATAGCAATATTGCTTTTGTAAAAGTGATAATCTTACTGTGAGAGAAATTCAAATAATGAAAAATACAGAAAGAGAGCAAATATAACTTTCTGTATCCTTTGCAAACATAACATCTGTGGGATTTTGGCATCTATACTTGTGAAATTGAGTATATGTACTAAGATACCTTACGAAGTATTTTGTACTATGTGACAGTGCATTGCTTTTCTTGCTAATGAGCACATCATAGTTCAGTAGTATAGTATTTGGTTATCAGTGTTAATTAGGAATATAATCTATTGACACACTTCAGGTCTCTGCCTCTGAACTCTTGGCAGTACCATTTGACCATGCCTTTTTACAAAATCTCTATAATGGCATTTTTCAGCCATTTCCATATTTTGGAACATTGAATTCTGAGCATTCAAATGTACCTTTTTTGTGATGCTTTTATTGAGATTGTTTTTCGGATTTCTGACAATGCTTTTTAAGTATTTCTCCAAAGTACTTAACCCAGTCTACCACACACTGTAGATATTTGTGTGAAGGAGTATCTCTCCCTCTCAGGTAACTATAGTAGATGGAAGGGATTGTATCTTACTCAGATTTATAACTTTCAGAGAGCCCAACATGATGTCATTGACATAGTAAATACCTAAGAGTTGTTGATTAAAATTTAGTTGCAGACAGCATAGAGTTGGAAATAATTAAAAGGAGAACTATAGTTTATACTAACAAACACATGCCCAGATATCATATTTTTAAAAATATATATTACCATTTCATATGGTAATTGAGTTAGTCTATCAATGATAACCTGAAATTTGTTACTTTCTGTGCTGTAGGCTACTTGTCCTGCTGTCGTTTCTTAGATGACAGCCAAATTGTTACAAGTTCGGGAGATACAACTTGGTAAGTTTATTCCAGAAGAACACTGAATAAACTGGGTTGAGGGTGGTAGCAGGAACTAATGTAAGAAGAGATAATAGTTGTTAATTATTCTTATTTATTTTTAATTATAGTGCATTATGGGACATTGAGACTGCTCAGCAGACCACCACATTCACCGGGCATTCTGGAGATGTGATGAGTCTTTCTCTGAGTCCTGACATGAGGACTTTTGTTTCTGGCGCTTGTGATGCCTCTTCCAAATTATGGGATATTCGAGATGGAATGTGTAGACAGTCTTTCACTGGACATGTGTCAGATATTAATGCTGTCAGTGTAAGTGATCAACATTTCTGAGGAAAACTCTGCATTGTGCATTTCAAGTGTTGAACTCTGTAGCATGATTTTAACAACAAATTACCTTTAAGGATTCTTATAAATAATATGCCCTTATAACATTGAACACCAAATAATAAGGATTTGATTTTTAAAACTGGAGAGCTTTTAATCCATAGGCCTAGGTGTTTATTTGCAGGTCAACAGTAAGTTTTATTTTCAAATTTAGAGGGAGAAGTCATCTTGAGCAAACAAGCAAATCATGGATACCCACAACAATGTGTTCAGAGACGAACAAAATCTCCTATCTCTGGGATCAAAGGGAACAAGCCAAAGAGAGAACAATCAGGAAGACTAAGGCAGCTTTTCAGTGTAGATGGTACAGCATTTGAAGTTAGCCAAACCTGGGATCAAATCTTCGTTCTGCTGGGAATCAGTTGTGTGAGACCAGACAGGCTACTCTTTGAGCCTCAGATAGATGCCTTGGTTTTTCAAATAGGGATGATAATGCCTAGATCAAAGAATGGTGTGGAGATAAAAATCAGCCATATGTTGGATGATCAGTTAATGTTATGTATAAATTGTTTATAAGCTACTTCATATTTTTAAAGATACCCAAACAGGTAACCACAAGTAGATTAAGCCAAATAATAAGTATATACAAGGATGACTAGTCATATTGTTTATTAATTAGGGTAAAGCTAAAATGGCATTTTGAATGACAAATGGTCAGAATTGAGAGGAGGGGTATTCAGAGGAGGTGGGATACTCCTCGACTTTAGTATATTATCCTATGTAGATTAGATCCAAGTGTGTAGAAATGACTGGAATTTCCAAAAGTACAGTAATTGCTAATAATTGTGTGTTTAAGACACATTCTATTTTGGGGGAAAAATAGGTTTTTAATTATCATCCACATATTGAAAATCATTTTTATATGATTTTGTGAAGAGTATCAGAAAAAGTATAGGCTTTGTTTCTCCTACCCCAGTAAGCCAGTGTCGTTATAAGACTACAATTTTAGAGCAGGCAAACCTAGCCCCACCCCCACCCCCACCCCCTCTCTCTCGTAACACTGCCCTCATCAGGTTGGTGATATTCTCTTCTAGTCCTAATTTCCTAAGATTTTATCTGAAATGAGTATTGATGTTTATCAAATGCTTTCTCTTCATCTATTGAGATGATCATGTGGTTTTTCTTTTTCAGTCTTAATGATGACATTTACATTGATTGGTTTTTCAAATATTAATCCAACTCTTCATTTCTGGGATAAAACTCAGATGGTCATATTGCATAGTCCTTTTTTTATATTAGTGGGTTTGACTTGTGAAAATTTTGTTAAGTTTTGCATCCATGTTCATAAAATTTATTCTATTCTTTGTTTTTTGAAATGTTTTTTTCTGGTTTTTTATCACATTAATGCTTGCCTTACAGATTTGGGAAATGTTCCCTCCTCTTCTGTTTTCTGGAACAGTTTGTGTAGAAATACTAGTATTTCTTCCTTAAATATTTGGTTGGAAAAGTTCTCTGGCCAAGGATTTTTCTTTGTGAGAAGAGATTTAACCATAAATGTAATGTGTTGTTAGATAATGGTCTATTTAGGTTATCTACTTCTTCTTGAGTGAACTTTGGTACGGTATGTCTTTCAAGTAATTTTTCTGTATCTATGTCTTTAAATGTTTAAGATTATTCATAATATTCCCTTCTTTTGATATCTGTAGAATCTATAGGATATCTCATTCATGATATTGGTAATTTGTCTCTCAGCTATTTTTCCTGATCAAGTCTGGGGTTGTGGGTTGAATTGTATGCCTCTAAAAGGTTGTATCTTGAAGTCCTAATGCCCAATACCTCAGAATGTGACTTTATTTGAAAATAGTATCGTTGCAGATATGATTAGTTGGATCAAGGAGAATCAGGGACTCAATCCGGGTTATTTGCTTTTTGGGTGTTGAGGCATGTGAGTTCTTTTATACATTTTGGATGTTAACCCCTTGTCGGATATGTCATTTACAAATATATTCTCCCATACTGTAGGATGCCTTTTTATTCTTTTGATGGTGTCCTTTGCTGTACAGAAACTTTTTAGTTTAATATAGTCCCATGAGTTCATTTTTGCTTTTGTTACCCTTGCTCGAGAAGATGCATTCAGGAAGAAGTTGCTCATGCTTATATTCAGAAGATGTTTGCCTATGTTGTCTTCTAAGAGTTTTATGGTTTCATGACTTACATTCAAGTCTTTGATCCATTTCAAGTTTACTTTTGTGTATGGGGTTAAACAGTAATCCACTTTCATTCTCTTGCATGTAGCTGTCCAGTTTTGCCAATACCAGCTGTTGAAGAGGCTGTCATTTCCCCATTGTATATCCATGGCTCCTTTATCATATAGTGATTGACCATATATTGTTGGGTTTATATCAGGGCTCTCTAGTCTGTTCCATTGGTCTATGGGTCTGTTCTTGTGCCAGTACCAAATTGTCTTATTACTGTGGCTTTGTAGTAGGGACCCCTAATCCAGTATTACTGGTATCCTTAGAAAAGGGGAAACATAGAGACAAAGAAGCACAGAGGGTAAATGATGTGAAGAGACACAGGCAAAAGACTGCCATCTGCAAGCCAAGGAGACAGGCCTAACAGATCCTTCCCTCCCAGCCCTCAGGCACCTTGATTTCAGACTTCCAGCTTCCAGAACTAAGACATTATTTTTTTGTTGTTTGAGCCGCTCAATTTGTCATACTTTGTTATGGCAGCCCTGCCAAACTAATACATTAGGCTAGAGGTTTATCGATTTTATTTATCTTCTCAAAGAACCTTCTTTTGGTTTCAATGTTTTTCTCTGTTGTTTTTGTTTTCTGTTTCAGTGACTTTTCACTTTGACCTTCATTATTTCTTTTCTGCTGCTTACTTGGGTTTCATTTGCTTTCCTTTTTTCTAGTTTCTTAAGGTAGAAGTTGACACCACTGATTAGAAACTTTTCTAATATTGGAGCTTAAAGTTACACATTTCTTCCTAAGCATTGCTTTTAGCTATATTTCACGTATTTTGATGATGTTTTCATTTGCATTTAGTTCAAAATTCTTTAAATTTTCCTTTGATCTCTTTGACCCATAAGTTATTTAGAATTATGTTATATAGTTTCCAAATATTTGGAGATTGACTAGATACCTTTACTTTTGTTACTTTTTAATTCCTTAATGGTCAGAGAATATACTTTGTATGATTCCTATGATTTGAATCCTTTTAAGTTTCTCAATACTTGTTTTATGGCCCAGAATATTATTTATCTTGGTCTGTGTTCCATATGTACTTGTAGTGAATCTGAACTCTGCTGTTATTGGGTGGAGAGCTCTATAGATGTCAGTTGGGTGAAGTTTGTCAGTAGTGTTATTCAAGTCTTCATTATCCTTGCTTATTTTTGATGTTCTTTCTACTTGTTACTGAGAGAGAGATGCTGAAATCTAATTGTGTATTTGTCTACTTTTCCTTGCAGTTTATTAGCTTTTGCTTCATGTATTTCAGAACATAAACTTTTAGGATTACTTTGTCCTCTTGATGAATTGATTTATTTATCATTTATTATCATATCTCATCCCTCTTATTTGCTCTGAAACTATTGTCTCATATTAATAGGAATACCCTAGCTTTGATTTAGTATTAACATGGACATATCTTTTTCCTTTCTTTTACTTGTAAGCTATTTGTGTCTTTATTTTCAAAGTGATTTTCTTATAGGCAGCAGTTGGGTCTTGCTTTTTATTACTTTGGTGATTTCTGCTATATATTGCTTAGACCATTTACATTTTATGTGATTATTGTATTAATGTGATTAGGTTTAAATCTATCATCTTGCTCTGTCTTTTATTTTTCCCATCGATTCTTTGTTCTCTTTGACTCTTTTTCTGCTTTAACTTTTTTTTACTGAAGTATCATTGATGTACAATCTTATGTTGGTTTCAAATGTACAACACAGTGGTTCAACACTTTAGTGCAGTTATTATCTATCAGTGTAGAAGGATGTTACAGAATCATTGATTATATTCTCCATGCTGTTTAACTGTTTAAAAAAAGATTATGAATCCCTTTTATTTTCTTGCTGGGATTACTAATGGTAACTTTTTTTTAGTGATTACTATAGGGTTTGTAGTATACACCTTTAGTTTTTTGCAGTCTACTTTAAAGTGATAATGCACCACTTTACATATAGATGAGAACTTTTCAACTGTATATTCTTATTTCTCCCCTCCTAGCCTTTGTGTTATTGTTTTCATAATTTTATTTTTAAATGTTTTAAACCTCAGAACACATTGATACTACTTTTGCTTTCAACAGTTCATTATCTTTTGGAGACACATATAAAAAAGTCTTTGTATTAACTTTCATAGTTGCCATTTTCTGTGCTCCTTATTCTTTTGTGTATAGATTCACATTCCCATCTATTTTCCTTGTTTGAAGGGCTTCCTTTAACATTTGCTTATAAATAGTACTGTTCTGCTAAAGTCCTTAAGCTTTTGTCTGTCTAAAATTTTTTTTGTTTTGCCTTCATTTTTTAAAGATTTTTCACTTTTTTTTTTTATACTTTAAAGACATTACTCTACTGTCTTTCAGTTCGTGTTGGTCCTGATGTGAAATGTGCTATCATCCTTGTACTTGGTTTCTCTACACAGTGGGTCTTGTTTTTCTCTGGCTGCTTTTAATATTTTTGTCTTTATCACTGTTTTTAAGCAACTTGATTAGTATATGTCTCTGAATAGTTTTCTTCATATTTTTTGTTTGAATTTGTGGGTTTATAGTTTTCATCAAATTTGGAAAATTTTCAGTCATCATCATTCACATTTTTTTTGTCCCCTCTTTTGTCCTCTGGGGACTACAGATGCACATGTACTAAGGTACTTGAAGTGCTCCCACAGTTCACTAATGCTCTGTTCATTCTTTCAGTCTTTCTTTCTCACTGTATTGGATAGTTTCTGCTATATCTTGAAGCCCACTATTTGATATTACTATAGGGTTTGTAGTATACACCTTTAGTTTTTTGCAGTCTACTTTAAAGTGATAATGCACCACTTTACATATAGATGAGAACTTTTCAACTGTATATTCTTATTTCTCCCCTCCTAGCCTTTGTGTTATTGTTTTCATAATTTTATTTTTAAATGTTTTAAACCTCAGAACACATTGATACTACTTTTGCTTTCAACAGTTCATTATCTTTTGGAGACACATATAAAAAAGTCTTTGTATTAACTTTCATAGTTGCCATTTTCTGTGCTCCTTATTCTTTTGTGTATAGATTCACATTCCCATCTATTTTCCTTGTTTGAAGGGCTTCCTTTAACATTTGCTTATAAATAGTACTGTTCTGCTAAAGTCCTTAAGCTTTTGTCTGTCTAAAATTTTTTTTGTTTTGCCTTCATTTTTTAAAGATTTTTCACTTTTTTTTTTTATACTTTAAAGACATTACTCTACTGTCTTTCAGTTCGTGTTGGTCCTGATGTGAAATGTGCTATCATCCTTGTACTTGGTTTCTCTACACAGTGGGTCTTGTTTTTCTCTGGCTGCTTTTAATATTTTTGTCTTTATCACTGTTTTTAAGCAACTTGATTAGTATATGTCTCTGAATAGTTTTCTTCATATTTTTTGTTTGAATTTGTGGGTTTATAGTTTTCATCAAATTTGGAAAATTTTCAGTCATCATCATTCACATTTTTTTTGTCCCCTCTTTTGTCCTCTGGGGACTACAGATGCACATGTACTAAGGTACTTGAAGTGCTCCCACAGTTCACTAATGCTCTGTTCATTCTTTCAGTCTTTCTTTCTCACTGTATTGGATAGTTTCTGCTATATCTTGAAGCCCACTATTTGATTCTTCTGCAGTGTCTAATCTGCCATTAAGCCCATACAGTGTACTTTTTAATCTCAGGTATTGTCCTTGTCTATTAATTCTAATATCTGTGACATTTTCTGGGTTTGTTTCAACTGATTGATTTTTCTCTTAATTATGGGTCATATATTCTTTTTTGCATGTCTGATTTTCATTTGATGCCAAACATTATGAATTTTACTTTCTTGGGTGCTAGATATTTTGTATTCATGTAAATATTATTCAGCTTTGTTCTGGATTACTTATTTGGAAACAGTTTGATCCTTTCAGGTCTTGGATTTAAGTTTTGTTAGGCGGGACCAGAGCGGCACTTTGTGTATGCCTAAGTTTGCCCCACTGGTGAGGCAAAACACGATCTCTCTTCCCAATGAATTAGGAGGTTTTCCTCCTTGATGGTGGGAATAGGCACTATTCTTATCCCTGTGTCTGCATCAAAGTTTGTTTCCTGTGGTCTTTTTGTGCATTCTTGCCTTGCTTGAATTGTCTCCACATATACATGTGCTGATAAGTTCTCAGCTGAATCCTTAAGGGGCTCCTCCTTATGTCTCCTAAGTCCTCTCTGGTGCTCTGGCCTGTGGACTCCAGCTGCATTAGACTGCTTGGATTCCCAGCTCTGACTCCTCAACTCGGGAACATCAATAGGCTCTCCTTCCCTGCACTATGACCTGCAAACTGTCTCCAGGCAGCAAGATGGGACAATTGTAGGGCTTTCCTCATTTGTTTCTTATGTCTCAGGAGCCACTCATTTGTTGAATGATATCCAGAGTCTTTAGAATCATGTTACATATTTTATTCATTTTTTTTTTAGTCTTTTCAGCAATTGGGGGTAAATGTGGTGATTGTTACTACATTTTGGCTGAAAACAAGTGTAGTCAATAAATAATTTTTAAAAATAAAATTATCTTAGCTGAAGAAACTGATTTGAAGGTTCAAGGGGCTTATAAAATACTTAAAAAGTAATTTAAAAACAGCAACAGAGACATAGCCTGTTGAATTTAGAGTATCAAAAGGACAAAAAACTTGAGATGTATTCAGATGAAAAAGTAGGTTCTAGATACAACAGCTAAGCTTCACTTCTTCTCACACTTTTCCATAATAGACAATGCAGGAGTCTTCTAAACAGTATCTGCTGAGTGTTAGGGAAGAAATATTATGACCCAAGGATTTTACATATCAGAGGTCATATTTTATACTGTGGGAGACAAATTATAATAAATATAGTATATGATAAGAGATTAAAACTAGGTATGATCACTTAAGGCAATACCTGTTACAATAAATATAGTATATGATAAGAGATTAAAACTAGGTATGATCACTTAAGGCAATACCTGTACATGGTTATTGTACAGGTTTTGAGACAGAAGATATTGGAAGATACAGAATAAATCGAACTTTATGTTGTTTACAAGAAACCCCTATAAAAAAATGGCACAATAAGGCTAAAGTAAAAATGAAAGAGTGGTCAAGCCATAAACAAAAGGAAATGTGTGATAATATATTTCTATTAGACAAAGTAAAATTGAAACGAGAACTATGAGAAAAGTTTTACATTAAGAAGAGGTACAACCTATAGTGAAACAAGAACATTGAAATGCATAAAGCCAAAATCATTAGAAATGCAAGGAGAAATGAGACCAAAACAGCACTGCATAGGAGACTTTAATGTGCAAGTTGGAGATACTGATATCTTAAGTAGGCAAGAAATAAGCTATTGAGGATTCATATAACTTAATTCTATAATGTTGGCTGAATAGAAATACTGCACCCTCCAATGTCCTTAAACATTTATAAAAACTGATCACATAATAGGCCACTAAAGAAATAAGTAACACTGAGATAAATAGCTAGGGATGTCAGAAAAAGAACAATACACACTTGAGGAGAATGAGAGGAAGAACATGGTAAATAGAAAAGCAGAAACAGAGAGTAAAGCTAAAGAAAGTCTTAATTAGAACCAGCAAGGCCCTCCGTGATCTGGCCCTCTGCCCTTTACTGGGAGTTCTTCCATGATCCTTTAGTTGCAATTCTCACATCCAAAAAGTCAGAAAAATGTTTTCTCCCTTAAGTTTACCACACATTTACTCGGTGACAGAACCTGTAAGTGACAAGAGGCTATTTATAGTCTTTATTTATCCCATTTAGTATGGCTGTTTCACGAAGAAATACTACTGTATGTGATCACAGGGTGCCACCCTAGGCCCCAGGGGAGTTTTGCTTAGTATACAGCATATTGCCTTTCTAAAATCTGAGCAATTCTAAATGCTGAAAACAACGTTCTAGGGGTTCATATACGCCTGGAAGGACTGTGGACCTGTGATCGCCCCTCTGCTCACACAGCTGTGGCCACACCAGCTTCCCTGCTGTGCTGGCACTTTGCTTCCTCTCTCACCTGCGCTTCTTCCCAGCAGCAGCTCATTGCTTCACCTCCTTCAGGTCTTTAGAAAATATTTGCTTCTCAGTAAAACCTTCCTTGGACACCTGAGATTTCACTCCCACCCCTTCCTTTTCCAGGTTAATCTTTTCTCCTTTGTATTAATTATCTAACATTCTTAAATCCACTTTCTGTGTCAGCTTCACAAGAATATAAGCTCCATGGAGACAGAGATTTTTGTGTTTTGTTTACTACTGTGTATCGCTAGCAGCTAGAACAGTGCATGAGTAAGGTACTCAGTAAATATTTATTGAGCAAATATTTAGAAAATTTTATAATAGAAAACCATGAGAAAGTAGAAAAATTTAAATATGCTAATATCTGGTTCCCTAAATCTCTGGTAAACTTAAGAAAATAAAGGATAAAGATTACAGATATATAAAATTAAAAATAGTAAAGGTTATATTACAGATAAAAGTTTTAAAAATCATAAGAAAATACACTGTCTACTTACAGTAATTCTGAGTCACAATTTTCCAAAGTTGACTCAATAAATGAAAACCTTAATAGCTTGATAAGAATTTTTTTTCAATTTAACCAAAAAGTTTTCCAAAAAGCTTCCAGGTCCATGTAGTTTCATTGGTAAGTGTTTCAGACTTTGAAGGAAGAGAAAATTTCAGTGCAGTGAAACTGTTCCTGAAAACAGAAAAGGTCTAAAAGTTTCCCAGTTTTTTGTATCAAACTAGCATAACCCTTGTACCACAACACTGGGGTACTTTTAAAACCTGATAAAAGTAGCTTAGGAAAAATTAGCAAATCAAATCTAAGAATGTGTCAAAGTAAAAACACATCATTATCAAGTAAAAATTAGTTCAGGAGAACAAGAATAATATTAGGAAATCTACTAATAAAACTTACCAGTTGGTTTGTCAATATTTCAGGTACTGAAAAAATGTGATAAAAAGCAAACACCCAGTTAAAAAAAAAAGACAATATGATAAATTGATACTTAGAAAGCTGTCATTAAAAATAAACAGCCCGCATCACACACACACACACACACACACACACACACACACACACACACACCATTTAAAATATATATATATATATTTCCCCCAGTTCTGAGGGCCATTTTAAACTCCAGGCAGTTAGAACTAGTTCATTGTATTTGTTAAAGTGAGCATGTAATGTGATACCATCCAAACCGGGAAACTTGAATGTGAAAGGGCATGGTCAGTCATTTGCCAGGGGGAGAGGCAGACACCGTCCTAGGCAAAACACAATGTCCGGTCCTTCTGTCTCTTGAACATAGAATATTTGCATGCCATGCCCCACACTCTGAGCCAGAAGGGCTGATCTTCTGAACTGGATGTTTTGCACTAAATGTCCCATCCTGTCGTGTGTACGCTTCTTTATTCTGGTCTGTGGTAGAGAACAGGTTTAGTCCATAAGTGCTGGCAAAATACCAGCCATGATGGTGCCAGACTTCCTGCAGAGGAGTAATGGGCAGTGTCATGTTGGCTGTTAGAATGGAAGGAAGTGGTTAAAATCATGAGCCTGTAAGTAGGCAGTAAGGGTTTGCTGAAGACTTTTGCCTCTTAACTACACTGTAGCCTGGGATGACTAATGGTTGGATGCTTAATAGAAGAAATTATAGCTAGAGGCTCCTTTTGTCTGTTTGGAAAGAAGGAAAAGCAGTTCCTCCTATGTGATGTGGAAAAACCACCTCCACTGGGATCAGGCTTTAACCATCCTGAAAGCATTAAAGTAAAAGTACTGCACTTCTGAGAACCTGTTAACTGATTATTACTGCCTTCCTCAACTGCTACCCTAAGTATGGGATTTCTTAACAGTGAAACACCCTTGAGGCATTCTCATTATATTAAATAACAAGGCAGTAATACTATCACCACTATCAAATGTTCTGAAACTTCCAGCTGGTATACTTGGAACCAAAACTGAAGTAATAGGTGAATTAAAAAGTAGAAAAATGTTATTTCTAGGTAGTATGTTTAGATACCCAAAGAAAGACTTAAGTAATTGTATTTTCTGGATTACAAAAACTATTTTATTTATTATTAAGGTATTATTAATATACACTCTTATGTACCACATGAAAAAACAATGTGGTTACTACATTTACCCCTATTGTCGTGTCTCCCCTCCATGCCCCATTGCAGTCACTGCTCATCAGTGTAGTTAGATGCCATAGAATCGCTATTTGCCTTCTCTATGCTACACCGTCTTCCCACTGGTCCCCCCACACCATGTGCACCAATCATAATACCCCTTCATCCCCTTCTCCCTTCCTCCCCACCCACCCTCCCCCACCCCTCCCCTTTGGTAACCACTAGTCCCTTCTTGGAGTCTGTGAGTCTGCTGCTACTTTGTTCCTTCAGTTTTACTTCATTGTTATACTCCACAAATGAGTGAAGTCATTTGGTACTTGTCTTTCTCCGCCTGGCTTATTTCACTGAGCATAATATCCTCCAGATCCATCCATGTGATTGCAAATTGCAGAATTTTTTCTTTCTTATGGCTGAATAGTATTCCATTGTATATGCGTACCACATCTTCTTTATCCATTCATCTACTGATGGACACTTAGGTTGCTTCCATATCTTGGCTATTGTAAATAGTGCTGTGATAAACATAGGGGTGCATATGTCTTTTTGAATCTGAAAAGTTGTATTGTTTCGGTAATTTCCTAGAGTGGGATTCACAGGTGAATGGTATTTCTATTTTTAGTTTTTTGAGGAACCTCCATATTGCTTTCCACAATTGTTGAATTAGCTTACATTCCCACCAGCAGTGTAGGAGGGTTCCCCTTTCCCCACATCCTCACCAGCATTTGTTGTTCTTAGTCTTTTCAATACTGGCCATCCTTACTGGTGTGAGGTGATATCTCATTGTGGTTTTTATTTACATTTCCCTGATAATTAGTGATGTGGAGCATCTTTTCATGTGCCTGTTGGCCATCTAAAATTCTTCTTTGGAGAACTGTCTGTTTGTATCCTCTGTGCATTTTTTAATTGGGTTATTTGCTTTTTGGGTGTTGAGGCATGTGAGTTCTTTATATATTTTGGATGTTAACCCCTTGTTGGATATGTCATTTACAAATATACTCTCCCGTACTGTGCCTTTTTGTTCTGTTGATGGTATCCTTTGCTGTACAGAAGCTTTTAAGTTTGAGGTAGTCCCATGTGTTCATTTTTGCTTTTGTTTCCCTTGCTCGAGGAGGTGCGTTCAGTAAAAAGTTGCTCATGATTATATTCAGGAGATTTTTGCCTTTGTTATCTTCTTAAGAGTTTTGTGGTTTCATGACTTACATTAAATTCAGGTCTCTGATCCATTTTGAGTTTACTTTTGTGTATGGGTTAGACAATAATCCCGTTTCATTCTCTTGCATGCAGCTGTCCAGTTTTGCCAACACCAGTTGTTGAAGAGGCTGTCATTTCCCCATTGTATGACCATGGCTCCTTTATCATATATTAATTGACCATATATACTTGAGTTTATATCTGGGCTCTCTGGTCTGTTCCATTGGACTATGAGTCTGTTCTTGTGCCAGTACAAAATCGTCTTGATTACTGTGGCTTTGTAATAGAACTTGAAGTTGGGGAGCATAATCCCCCCAGCTTTATTCTTCCTTCTCAGGACTGCTTTCGCTATTCGGAGTCTTTTGTGGTTCCATATGAATTTTAGAATTATTTTCTTTAGTTCATTGAAGAATGCTCTTGGTATTTTTATAGGGATTGCATTGAATTTGTAGATTGCTTTAGGCAGTATAGCCATTTTGACAATATAAAATCTTCCTATTCATGAACATGGGGTGTGTTTCCATTTATTGGTATCTTTAATGTCTCTCATGAGTGTCTTGTAGTTTTCAGTGTATAGGTCTTTCATTTCTTTCGTTAGGTTTATTCCTAGGTATTTTATTCTTTTTGATGCAATTGTGAATGGAATTGTTTTCCTGATTTTGCTTTCTGCTAGTTCATCATTAGTGTATAGGAATGGAACAGATTTCTGTGTATTAATTTTGTAACCCACAATGTTGCTGATTTCAGATAGTAGATCTAGTAGTTTTGGAGTGGATTCTTCAGGGTTTTTTATGTACAATATCATGTCATCTGCAAACAGTGACAGTTTAACTTCTTCTTGACCAATCTGGATGCCTTTTATTTCTTTGTGTTATCTCTTTGCTGTGGCGAGGACCTCTAGAACTATGATGAATAAAAGTGGAGAGAGTGGGCATCCTTTTCTTGTTCCTGATCTTAAAGGAAAGGCTTTCAGCTGAACTGTGTAAGTGTGATGTTGGTTAAGGATTTGTCATATATGGCCTTTATTATGTTGAGGTACTTGCCATCAATACTCAGTTTGTTGAGAGTTTTTATCATGAATGGATGTTGAATTTTGTCTAATGTTTTTTTGGTGTCTATGGAGATGATCATGTGGTTGTTGTCCTTCTTTTTGTTGATGTGGTGGATGATGTCGATGGAATTTCTAATACTGTACCATCCTTGCATTCCTGGAATAAATCCTATTTGATCATGATGGATGATCTTTTTGATGTACTTTTGAGTTCAGTTTGCTAATATTTTGTTTAGGCTTTTTGCATCTGTATTCATCAGGGATATTAGTCAGTAATATTTTTGTGTGGTTTCTTTGCCTGGTTTTGGTATTAGAGTGATGCTGGCCTCATAGAATCAGTTTGGAAGTATTCCTTCCTCTTCTACTTTTTGGAAAACTTTAAGGAGGATGGGTATTATATTTTCACTAAATGTTTGATAAAATTCAGCAGTGAAGCCACCTGGTCCAGGAGTTTTGTTCTTATTAGTTTTTTGATTACCAGTTCAATTTCATTGTTAGTAATTGGTCTGTTCAGATTTTCTGTTTCTTCCTGGGTCATCCTTGGAAGGTTGTATTTTTCTATAAAGTTGTCCATTTCTTCTAGGTTATCCAGTTTGTTAGCTTATAATTTTTCATAGTATTCTCTAATAATTCTTTGTTATTTCTGTGGTGTCTATAGTGCATTTTCCTTTCTCATTTCTGATTCTGTTTATGTATGTAGACTCTCTTTTTTTCTTGATAAGTCTGGCTAGGGGTTTATCTATTCTGTTTATTTTCTCAAAGGACCAGCTCCTGCTTTCATTGATTCTTTCTATTGTTTTATTCTTCTCGATTTTATTTATTTATGCTCTAATCTTTATTACATCCTGCCTCCTACTGACTTTGGGTCGCATTTGTTCTTCTTTTTCTAGTTTCGTTAATTGTAAGTTTAGACTGTTCATATGGGATTGTTCTTTCCTGAGGTAGGCCTGTATTGCAATATACTTCCCTCTTAGCATGACATTCACTGTGTCCCACAGATTTTGTGGTGTTGAATTATTGTTGTCATTTGTCTCCATATATTGCTTGATCTCTGTTGCTATTTGGTCATTGATCCATTGGTTATTTAGGAGCATGTTGTTAAGCCATGTGTTTGTAGGCTTGCTTTCTTTGCATAATTTATTTCTAGTTTCATGCCCTTATGGTCTGAGAAGCTGATTGGTACAATTTCAATCTTTTTGAATTTACTGAGGCTTTTTTTGTGGCCTAGTATATGATCTATTCCTGAAAATGTTCCATGTGCACTTGAGAAGAATGTGTATCCTGTTGCTTTTGGGTGGAGAGTTCCATATATGTCTGTTAGGTCCATCTGTTTTAATGTGTTGTTCAATGCTTCTGTCTCCTTATTTATTTTCTGTCTGGTTGATCTGTTCCTTGGAGTGAGTGGAGTGTTGAAGTCCTTTGAATGAATGCACTGCATTCTATTTCCCCTTTTAATTCTGTTAGTATTTGTTTCACATATGGAGGTGCTCCTGTGTTGGGTGCACAGATATTTGTAATGGTTATATCCTCTTGTTGAATTGACCTCTTTATCATTATGTAATGTCCGTCTTTGTTTCTTGTGACTTTGTTTTGAAGTCTATTTTGTCTGATACAAGTACTGCAATACCTGCTTTTTTCTCTCTATTAGTTGCATGAAACATCTTTTTCTATCCCTTCACTTTTAGTCTGTGTATGTCTTTGGGTTTGAAGTGAGTGTCTTGTAGGCAGCATATAGTTGCATCTTAGTATCCATTCAATGACTCTATTTCTTTTGATTGGTGGATTAGGACCATTTACGTTTAGGGTTATTATTTATAGGTATGTACTTATTGCCATTGCAGGCTTTAGATTTGCGGTTACCAAAGGTTCAAGGGTAGACTTCCTTACTTTCTAGGAGTCTAACTTAATTCACTTAGTATGCTATTACAAACACAATCTAAAGGTTTTTTTTTTGTACCTCCTCCTTTATATATTAGGTATCATATTCTGTACTCTTTGTCTATCCCTTCTTATTACCTCTGGTGACAGCTATGTAACCTTAGGAACACTTCCATCTATGGCAGTCCCTCCAAAATACACTGTAGAGCTGGTTTATGGGAGGTAAATTCTCTCTGCTTTTGCTTATCTGTAAATTGTTTAATCCCTCCTTCAAATTTAAATGATAATCTTGCTGGATAAAGTATTCTTGGTTCAAGGCCCTTCTGCATCATTTCATTACATATATCATGCCACTCCCTTCTGGCCTGTAAGGTTCTGCTGAGAAGTCTGATGCTAGCCTGATGGATTTTCCTTTGTATGTGATCTTATTTCTCTCTCTGGCTGCTTTTAATAGTCTGTCCTTATCCTTGATCTTTGCCATTTTAATTACTATGTCTTGGTGTTGGGAGATCTCTGCACCTCCATGGCCTAAGAGACTATCTCCTTCCCCAGACTGCGGAAGTTTTCAGCAATTACTTCCACAAAGACACTTTCTATCCCTTTTTCTCTCTCTTCTTCTTCTAGTACCCCTATATCATGAATATTGTTCCGTTTGGATTGGTCACACAGTTCTCTCAGTATTCTTTCATTGCTAGAGATGCGTTTTTCTCTCTGTGCCTCAGCTTCTTTGTATTCCTCTTCCCTGGTTTCTATTTCATTTATCGTCTCCTCCAGTGTATCTAATCTGCTTTTAATACCCTCCATTGTGCTCTTTGATGATTGGATCTCTGTCCTAAATTCGTTCCTGAGTTCTTGAATATTTTTCTCTACCTCCATGAACATGTTTATGATTTTTATTTTGAAATCTCTTTCAGGAAGATTCATGAGGTCGATTTCATTTGAATATCTCTCAGGTGTATTCATAATTGTGCTTTGAACCAGGTTCCTTTGACATTTCATATTTTCCTGTGGTGCCCTCTAGTGCCCAGAAGCTCTACTCTCTGGAGCTGCTCAGCCCCTGGAGTGGTATCCGGGGTGGCAGGGAAGTGGTGTTGGTTCTTGGGGGGAGGAAAGGGCTGTTTCCTGCTTCCTGACTGCTATGCCTGTCTCCACTGCCAAAACCAGTGGGCTGGACACACAGGTGTAAGTCTCTGTGCTTTGTCTTGTAGCTCCTGTAGGTGGGGCTTCCCTCTGGCTGGCCTGATGCCAGGGCAGGTGTTGTCAGTCTGCGAGCCAGGTGCAGGCTAGCCGGGAGGAAGACACAGCAGGCTGCATATCATGGTAGGGGGCCTTGGAGCTGCGTAGCCAGCTAGGAGAATGGAGTGCCTGAAGACATTTAAAAGTTCCCAACCTGCTGGGCAGAGTGCACCCAGACAATTTTGTCTACCTGTCCTTTCTCCTGAGCAGTAAGCTCTGTGCAATCCTTGCCCCTTTAGTGGCCCTCTTGCTGTATTAAGTCTCTTAGGCCGCACGCCTGCCCAGATCAGCCGTATATGAATTCCTGCTTTCCACAAGCAGCTGGAATCTCCATTTCTCCAGTCACCAGAGCACCATGCAATGTAGGTTTGTACTCCCAGAGCAGATCTCCAGGGCTAGGTGTTTAGCAGTCCCAGGCCTCCACTCCCTCCCTGCTCAGTTTTTCTTCCTCCCGCCATCGAGCTGGGGTCGGGGAACAGGTTGGGTCCCGCCGGTCACAGCTTTGGTGTGTTACTGTCTTCCGTGAGGTCTGCTCTTTTCTCCAGGTGTATGCAGTCTGCTGCAGTCTTCTTTCCTGTTGCTCTTTCAGGATTAGTTGTATTAATTATATTTTCATATTATATGTGGTTTTAGGAGGAAGTCTCTGTCTTATTACCTCTCATGCTGCCATCTTTATTCCAATCACAAAAACTATTTTAAAACCAGTAACTTTCCTATACCAATAGAAACCAGGTAGAAAGTGGAAAGGAGCAAAATCCAATTGAGAAGAGCAACAAAAATAATAAAATAAACAATACATTTAGCAAGAAATGTGCAAAGTTTTCATTTAGACAATCATAAAACATTCTGGTAAACATAAAAAATTTTTTTCCAAGTTCCTAAATGGGAAGACTGCATATTGTAAAAAAATCATTTATCCTTCAAACTCACTTTTAGGTTTAATACAAATGTTAAATCAAGTGTAATTTTTTTTGAGGTGAACCAGAGGAATGTGGAGAAAAGAGACTTGATTAAATGCATAATTCAGGTGGGAAAAAAGGACAGAGGAATTTGAGGTAGAATAAGAGTGTTCTCCCATGCCACATAATAAAACTTACTATAGGTTATAATGATAAGTTTTTTAGAAGTATGGTACAGATGCAAGAAAGGACAGACAGAAAATGCAAAACTAATATTTTTGTGTGAATTACAGATGTAGCGACAAAATCAGTAGAAAGATGATTATTTAATTAACAGCTGGGACAGTTGCATTACTATTAAAAAAAGTAAGTTAAGATAGACCCTTGACACTGAATGCTGTATATCAAATTTCAGATGGATAAAAGTTAATATGTGAAAAATAAAATTATTTTTTAAAAACTAGAAAATATAATTGAACATCAGTTAATCTGGGGAAGGGCTTTATTCATAAAAATGAAAGAAATCTCAAACGGAAAGAAACTTGACTACATAAAAATTTGCTTTATATTTTTAAAAATAAATTTTAGAAGACAAATGATAAACTATTAAATAATATCTGCATCAAATAGACAAATTTATACTCGTTTTATTCCTACAAATCAGCAAGTCCTAACAGCATAATAAAAAGTAATCAGAGGTCATGAACAACCAGGTCACAGAAGAAATACAGGCAGCCAATAGATAGAGGAAAACAAGTGATTTTTCTCTCTAAAAAATCATGTTGAGTAGTGCCAGTGTCTGAGAAGATTCACAGATTAATAATGCATAATTTTCTTTCCTACTAGCTTAACTTTATGACCTATCCTAAGTGAAATGATTTATGGTCTCTTTTTATAAAATCTTTCCTATTTGTTTCTCATAATTGGATTTTGGAATACTTCTTTAAAATTATACATATGTAAGTTCTATAAACAGTAATACTTGATTTAAAAGTTTTAATAAGCCATATGGAGGACAAAGCCAATATTTTTTGAATGCTTGCTATGTGCTGAACAATGGTCTGTGTACTTTACGTGTTATTTGAGTCAATAATGATTGACACTTTAAAATTTAAACTAAGGCCCAAAGTGTTTAAGAATCTTTAGTGCCCTAGGGAAACAAAATAAAAAGTGAACAGATGGGACTATATCAAACTAAAAAGCTTCTATACAGCAAAGGACACCATCAGCAGCACAAAGAGGCATCCTACAGCATGGGAGAATATATTCATAAACAATTTATCCAATAAGGAGTTAACATAAAAAATATAAAGAACTCACATGTCTCACCACCCAAAAAACAACCCAATTAAAAAATGGGCAGAGGGCCTGAACAGACACTCCTCTGAATAAGAAATACGGATGGCCAATGAGCACATGAAAAGATGCTCCACATCGCTAATTATCAGAGAAATGCAAATTAAAACCACAATGAGGTATCACCTCACACCAGTTAGGATGGCCAACATCCAGAAGACAAGAAACACAAATGCTGATGAGGATGCAGAGAAAGGGGAGCCCTCCTACACTGTTGGTGGGAATGTAAATTGGTATAACTGTTGTGAAAAGCAATATGGAGGTTCCTAAAAAAACTGAAAATAGAAATATCATTTGATCCAGGAATCCCACTCCTGGGAATTTTCCTGAAGAAAACAAGATCCCTGATTTGAAAGGACCTATCACTGCAGTATTTACAATAGCCAAGATACGGAAGCAACCTAAGTGTCCATCAGTAGATGAATGGATAAAGAAGATGTGTTACATATACACAATAGAATATTATTCAGTCATAAGAAGAAAACAAATCCTACCATTTGCAACAACATGGATGGATCTAGAGGTTAATTATGCCCAGTGAAATAAGCCAGGCGGAGAAAGACAAGTACCAAATGACTTCACTCATTTGTGGAGTATAAAAAACAAGGAATGAAACAGCAACAGACTCATAGACTCTGAGAACTGATTAGTGATTACCAAAGGGGAATGGATCAGGAGGGAGAAGGGGATTAAGGGGCACTATGATTAGCAATCAGAATATAGGTAGTGCACGGGGAAGGCAGTACAGCACTGAGAGGTAGTAGCTCTGTAGCATCTTATTACACTGATGGACAGTGACTGCAATGGAGGGGGTGAGGACTTGATAATATGGGTGAATGCAGAAACCACATGTTCATGTGAAACCTTTATAAGATTATATATCAATACTTTAATAAAAAAAAGAACCTTTAGTATTGTCTATCACTCGCCTGGTAAGAAGCCAAGGGGAACTTGAATTCACGTCTGCCTTACCCCAGAGTCTATTATGCTGCCTCACATGGTTTTTTGTTTACTTTGTGGAGTAAATGTTTGTTGCTTTTCTTTCTAGTTTTTCCCTAATGGATATGCCTTTGCCACTGGCTCTGATGATGCCACTTGCCGGCTCTTTGACCTTCGTGCAGACCAAGAATTGTTACTGTATTCTCATGACAATATCATCTGTGGAATCACTTCCGTAGCCTTCTCAAAAAGTGGGCGCCTCCTGTTAGCCGGTTATGACGACTTTAATTGTAATGTGTGGGACACGCTAAAAGGAGATCGTGCAGGTTAGTAAATAAGTAAGTCCATGTTAGGTTTTGATTTTGTCAGGAAACATGAAGAGGTTCCCATCAGTCCTTTTAAAGGTCTCCTGGACTCCCTGGGACTGTGGGAAAAGGTAGTGCGGCAGTTCTTACTCATGGTCGTTCCCCTTTGATGGCAGTTACATTCTAAAACACATTTACATTTGTTTTTTGAAGAGTATCATCTTTAATATTTTCTTGTTTGTTATGTTATAAAGCTGAATAGTGAATGTAATACAGTATGTTCTTGTTCAAATTAGAATTTTTTAATAACCTGATAGGAAACATTGGAACTGCTGTGGATCATTCTTCTGGAGCACATCTTGTCTGGGACAGGACACAGATTCACTACCTTCCCTTTGCCCCATACTCTGTGTTCTCCCTGGTAGCTTCTAAAATATTAGCAGATACATCAAGTCATGCTGGGGACTGTCATTAACAAATTACACAAAGTGTTTTAAATTTGTATTTTTAGAACCAAAATTATACTTAAGGAATTGAATAGTTCCACATGGATTGTTACCAGAACATAGGGGTCCTCTGACCCCAACCCATATTTTCTGCTTCCAAAGGTGCTACTCTCCAGTATTTACTTCTGTATCTTTAGATAACATTGCCCATACTGCTGTTACTCAATTTTTTTTTTCTTAACTTTTAGGCATTATCTGTTGGGGGCTGGCTTTAACATCCCTGCTCCCACCACAGCCACATCCTTCCCATCTTCCAACTTTTCCCATGCAGTGAATTTGTTTACATCAGTTTTTACATAATTATGACTTTAACCAGGTATGACTGCTGAGCAAAGAGGTGTATACTATGACTTGCTGCATACCTTTTTTATATTCCCTAGAGTTGTTTCTTGCTTCCATTCTTAGTTTTTATGTACTTCTCACTAGTTTATCTTTCAAACTTTCTGCTGGTTTTATGTCTTGGTCTGGATTCATATTCATCTGTTACGCCAGTTATTCGGTGGACCTTTTCAGTCTGGAAGTGTACATCCTGTAGTACTGGAAGTTCAGGAGCTGATTTGATTGCATTTCTTCTCCACTGTCATTCTCTTTCTAGAACTCCCACGATTCTGATGTTAGACTTCTTGGACTTTCCTTTGACTTAATTATTATATTCTCTCCTATTCTCCATCTTTATTTTGCTCTATGTCTGGGAGAAATAAATCCTCAGTTTTTTTCTTCAGTGACCTTTCTGTTAAGCTTTGGTGTTTCATTTTTGCTACCATCTTTTCAGCTTGAGTTTTTTTTAAGGCACCCTTTCTTTTTTTCATGAGTAGTCTTGTTTCTCTGAGGTTATTAATAAAAGCCTTTCTTGTTTTCTTCTTCAAGCATAATCTTTTGTGATTTACAAGTTACTTGTTTCCCTCTTATTTTTTAGTTCCTTGTCCTTATTTTTCAGAATATTTCCTTAAAACTCTGGTGATTTTTAGCTTCTTACCCATACTTGAGAGGGAGGCACTAAAACTGGAAGCCCTCTGTGTGTGGTTTAGGCGATTAACTGTTGGCCTCCTTGGTGGGTGGTCTGGCCAGGCTTTCACTGGGGAGTCTCATATTTCTTAAGGCCCTTTTCCCCCTGAGCTAGCCATGTTCTCTGAACTGGATTTTTCCCCTTTTCTTCCTGAAGTGTATAAGCTGGCTGCCAGTTTGGGGGCCAATTTCAGGAGGAAAACTGGCAGTGCAAAACAATTAGCAAGTAAACTTCCTTATTCTCCATTTTTGGCAGTCTGACCAATCTCAGATGGGCCTGTTTTATTCTGGTTAAGAGACCCTCTTTTACTGTCTCTAGCACACAAGTCTCCAGTCCTCTGCCTGGTGCAGGACGATTAATCACCTGATTGCAGAGTGGAGGCAGCAGCCTGGGAACTGATTCCTGGACACTTTCTAGTGCAGTCTTATGTTTACCCCATCTGTGCCCCTACCTGATTCCAGAGATACCTGGTTCCACTAGTATCTGACCCTTTTAGAGGTTTTGCAGTATAACATTTTCTGGGCTCACCAGACCATTTGCTTTGAACTCAGTATTTTGGAGTCCACTAACACAGTGACTGCCATCCAGCTTACAAACCTGTTCCCACATCCTCACTGTTCTTGTGGATCTAATGCCCTCACCCTTTCAAACTCCTATACAGTCGTTGAGGTTTCTGAGGGAGCAGAGGCGGTACCAACATTCCCAGGAACCCTGTTCTACATACAACCTCTCTTAAGAGACCACAGAGAAGTTCAGTTTAACATTTTACAAGTGGATTTTTAGAGAAACTGTTGTACAAAGCCAATTATTTTTTAAAAGCATTGGGTGCCAGTATCCACACAAAATAAAAAATGTGTTTGATTTTCACATTTTAAACATATGCTTGATTTCAAGTTGACTTAGCTGGATAATTTCACCTTAGTATTGACTTGTGACTAATGAGTTGCTAATTCATTCTCCTTTCCAATGTGATTTATTTAGCCAAATGTTCATTTTTTGTTATTTCAACCCCTAATGGTAACTTTGCCCATTGCCAAATATTGCCATATGAGGTACTACAGAGAATATTAAGTAGACAAGATGAACTTCTATTCCTGAGATTGGATGGAAATTATAAGCTTATAAGAAGAAAATGCATACTTGAAGACAGTATATTAAAGAAAAAATTCTTGTTGAGAATTTGATATATTACAGTTTCTCTTGTAAATATATCATTTTTCATTTTCCTTCCATTTGGAAATATTTCATTTTATCCTGTGTGGTGATCAGAATGTCAAAGGAGTTTAATGGTCTACCTTTAGTTTTTGTGTGAGTGTGATGATTTCAGAAGATTATAACCAAAACATTCCAGTGTTTGGTGGCAACAGAAGAAAGTAAATTGCATTGGCATTTTGGATGTAGTGATGTAAGGCAACTTCAGTCTTACATTCCTGTTATTCTTATGGTAAAAGGTGACTTTACTGAACATTTTTGTTGTTGAAAAATAGCATAGCTCGGTGGCAAAATCTGGAGTGTCATGAACTTATTAGAGATGTAGAATAAAAGTGAAAATCATCATTTGATGCACATCAGAAATTCACATAATACAAAGAACTGTATTTTATGTACACGTCCAGCTTAGTTCTGGCACTGAGTTTCCCCACTTAGGGGAATCTGTTAGCTTTTAAGTACCCTTCTAGATTTTTCATGCATATAGTTATTTAAAATTTGCCCATTTCTAACTTTTTACTGAACTTTGTTTTTTAGGTGTTCTTGCTGGTCATGACAACCGTGTCAGCTGTTTAGGTGTAACTGATGATGGAATGGCTGTGGCAACAGGCTCTTGGGACAGTTTTCTTAGAATCTGGAATTAACAGTGCATACACATTTTCTGTTCTCCATTGATATCTGGAGAAATCAGTGTTACAGCCTAAAGCTGTGAAAAAAATTCTACCTTATATTTGCAGGTGAGGATTTTTCTATTGAGATTATTATATACAAAAAAGATGCTTTCAGTAAACTACAAAACGAAAAAAAGGTGAACAATACAAGGCAAAGGTGCTTGCTGGGATTAAAGGACCAGTGGATTCAACTGAGGAGCTGAGCTAATTTAACCTTGCTGAATTTTTGCTTCTACTCAGTCTAATTATTTTGTATAGAACAGACTGGATGCATTATAACAACCTATCATGTTTGTGTTTGCACTTTTTAAGAACTACATTTTTAACTTCATATACATAATAAGCAATGTCACATTTTTTATTTTGTAATGGAGGAGTTAGGTACAGTAATAGATGGAAGTGATACTGTATGTGTATGCACTTATGTTTGAAGAAAATCTTGAATCCTGACTGTCCTTTTTAATCTAAAAGAGATCCTTGTTGCTTAATGTCTAAGAATGCTGGCAGGCCTGGGTATCTCTGAGAAGAGCCTTTTTGAGTATCATTAGTTTCTCTGTATCCTTTGCTATGCTATCAAATAAGTGCTCATTTTCAGTCATTTGAGGAGGAGATAATCTTAAGACTATATTTCTGCTCTTCAGATTTCACTCTGAAATTTTAGACATCCATAAGAAACTTGTATGTTAACAATAAGTAGACAGCAGTAATCACATATAAATGATTTTTTGCATTTAAAAAAAGAGCTGGCTATGGTCCAGTCACACTTTGGGAAGCCTTCTAAATAGTTGGACTTCCTACTGATTTCATAGTCTAGAACTGAATCAGTAGGGTACACTCATTATTTCAGAAGGTTGACGAACATTTGAATTGTCCTTGTATCTGAAGGATCCTAATGTTCTCCATCAACATGCATCTATATAGGAAATAGGTGATGATATGTTTCTGAAAAAAGTGTAAAATCTAACCAATCACTAGACCTGATTAATTATAACTATAACAGGTAGCTTTATGAATTTATGTTCACATAAAATCTGAATTGATGTAAACTGTGCCTTTAAAATTTTTTAAACATTCAAGCTTTTTGCTCTATTTCTTCTTTTAGCTCAAAATATTGGTTTCTAAGTGGTTTTGCTTCAAAGAATGTCTAATCCAAGTGACCCTACTTTAAAGCCAAAGAAAAGTTCCAAGAGCAATTCTTGAAGGAGTCAGATAAAATACTAAGCAATTCCTCTGCTTGCTAATGATATAATAATGTGCCTATTATTAGAATGGGCCCCTCTGAATTTAAACAAAGATAATTTCCCCCATGGATTTTCTCCCACAAATCTAAATGGTTGACAATAGAAGGTTAGTCTTGCTTTAAAGAGAAGTCATGGGTTATTCTGACATACAAAAGTGCATTGTGTTTTGTAATTTAGTGAACTGTGTCAGTTACTGTCGAGCTAGGTCTCTGTTAACTTTTGGCCACCTGTAACGCTAACCTAATATTCCTAAAGTTCACTTGTAAATTTTCATTCTTATATTATGAATGTGCTGGTAAGTGTTATCAACTATAACATAGTACCAGTTTTAAGATCAGTTGATACTAAAAAGAGAATAAAATGGATAAAGGAGGATTAAGATATAGGACCAAAAAAACCCAGACTATTGTAGATGGCAGTTACGAATATATATGACTTTTATGAATTTTTTGCTATTAATGTTTGTAAATATAAGTAGTCACTTCATAAAGAGCAGCTCTTTGAGCTAAGGCAAGAATATTTTAAGGAACGTATTCATTTCTAAAAAGGGGAGGGAGTGGTTTGCTGTGTAGTTCAGTTAATTCACTGCAAAATCCTATTCAAGAAAGTACTTCTGCCATGTGCAAAAATAGCCTTAAAAAGGGGAGTATCTCATCTCTTCAACTTTAAAAGTTATTCTAGTAACAGGATACTTTAGTCTGCTACACAGACTACACAATTCCATGGTCTTAAACATGTTAGAATAAATGATTTAATGTATTAAAGTTTTAATATAGTTTAAAAGCAATTCCCATAATAAAATATGTACTAAGCAACTGAAAACTAAACCACCGTTGTGGGTAATTATACATATAAATATACAAATGGTGACCTCCTTACAATATTAATTTACATAAACTTTTGCTTTCTAGTGATAGGGGTTCCAATTGCTAAATACATTTGCAGTTCAGCTGATGTAGTTTTCAGCTGATTGTCTATTTAAATCTGTTGTACATAAGACTTCCTGAAATCATTAAGTATACGATTTGTAGAAGCACCATATAACTTGAGTCTTAGTTTTTTAAGGCTTAAAAATCTGGCCGAGTGTAGTTTTAAGAAATTTGCATGATCAAGAATATTGTAGTTATCTGGTGCCTAAATTTTTTTTACTTTGTAAGTATTAAAACTAGAATAGTAGTTGACATATGGCAGGCGTATTTTAAAGGCACATACTCTTTTCTAAAACCAAGTAATAGTGATTTCCATGTGGCCTGGTGAGTCATCCCCAAACCTTACTACCAGCAAGGACATCTCCTCTACTTTAATGGCCAGGCCTTATTTTTGGCAGCTATAATTATTAGAGGCTTAGAATAAATATCCAAAGTCCCTCCCTAGCTCAGATTTTCAGTTATGATTCCATGGTTATACATGCCATACTGTGTTTCATTTTTATAAAAGCAAAGATTTGGGCTTAGTATTTCAACTGCAATATGGAGCCTACGAGGCAGTTTTCCATCATTTCAGCTTAGTCAACTGAACTAATACTGCAGGATGATAGTGAACTGGTCTCCTAAAGGTGCTTCTGAAATATGTTAAGCAATTTTACAATTAATCTATTAAAAAAGAAGTGCATCCTGACTTCTCCAAGTCACAAATTAAATAATCTTTGCTAAAAAATACTGTGCCAATATTATAACTCACCTTCTCTAACACCTTTGGTATATTAGATTTTAAAACAAGACTTTTAAAAGTGAAAACAGTGAAATTTGTTTTTATTACTGTTAAATGTCTCAATTTTAAATTAGAACTGAATGCTTATGGCTTATTTGTTGAAGTTTTTAAACTTATGGAAACCAATTAAACAATCTCCCAAATGGGCCTATAATTTTAATAATGAATATGTTCTTTCTAGATTCTTTGGAGGGTGGGGTCAGGTCAGGATTAAAATTTTAAAAAAAATTAAGTACTATGTTCACCTTCTAATTTCCCTTTTGCCATTGCAGAAAGCAAAATTTTAAGCTATTTCTTACTTCTGTTAGAATTTTTAAAATACAAGTCAGACCATCTTGAGAGAAAGGATAGCACAATGGCTAAAACTTCTTGAGAGAAAGGATAGCACAATGGCTAAAACTTATTTTGAATTAGGTTCAGCAGAATGTGAAGTCCACTTGATATTTACTAGTTTTTCTCCCATTGTTCATTTTGAGTTGCTTTAAATTCAGTGCTATGCTTAAAAATACTGGTTAAAATAGGTACTCATTAAAATGTTTATAACTGAATGTCTGAGTTAGCATTGTTTTAAGAAGTACTTTATTAATCAGATGGTACACCTTGTATTTAGAAAATGTTTGCATGTTGATGAAATTTCCTAGAGGTCTTTTTTCTTAAATCCAATTACTGATCCTATAAAAGTTATAATGCAGCATTATGGAACAACTGCTTGTGTTTTTCAACAGGTGTTAAATGTGCCTGACAAAATCTTGTATCATAAACAGTATTTATTTTTTAATTACTAGTACTTCAGTGATATACTGGGTAAATATTTCAAGACTTGTCTTTTACACAATGGTGCTCTATCCTATTGTTTTCTCTTTTCAAAGAAGCATCTGAACACTTCTATTTGCATATTCTTATCCAAAGGAATCCACATGTAAGTGGGTTCAGTTGATTAAAATGTTTTTTGATATAGAATGGTTTCTATCCACTTGTGGCCAGCTGACTGTCAGTAGTATGACTATGGGAAAAACAAACATACTGGATTAAAGCTGTTAAAAAAGCTTTAAACCAAACTGGACTTTTACAATGATTTAACAGTATTCTTGGATTTTTCTTGCACAGTGATTCATTCCTTTATTTGTACTGTAGCTCTGTGAAATAAAGTGTCTGTGAATTGATATTGTAATCAATAAAATGCTTTTAACCAAATTTCATGTAGCATGTTTTAAGTCAGTTTTTAAGTAGGATAAAATTAAGTCCCAGCATTCAACTCCAAGCCCAGTATTTCATCCTTAGGCTTAAATCCTTTATCTAAACATTGGTAATTAGTTTCTTCATGAAAAATGAATGGGCTACCAGAAGCAAGGAAGAGATTGGGGAACTTCACTGACCAGTTTTTAACAGTTCTATTGCTTACAGCATTGATAAAAAGTTTTTACTACTTAAATCACCACAACCTTGACAGAGGATGAATGAGCAGACTTTCAGTACTTGGGCAGGTGCACTGAACAAGTTAATGTTATCCAAAGGTGAGCCTTCTACGCAAGCTAAATCATATGCCTACCATAGAAGCTACTGAAAATCAAAACTCAAAAGCCAGTATAAATGCTACATTTATCAACTATCAGGCAAACATATTTTATGTTCACCTTGCAAGCTTGCATACTTATAAAAATGTAGTTTTGTAAAAAGTTTTATGGTTATATAAAGTATATAAACAATCCTGCAAACACACATAGTAAACAAGTATATGTGCAATAACTGAACTAAATCAGCTGTAAATTACATAATTTATAATTTGTGGGCTTGGTTGTAGGTACATTTATTCTAGGCACAAGGTTGGGTTTCATTATTTTAGTGTTCCATTTCCAACATCTGTACATTTTCAAACCTAATTAAGTGGAACTGCATTCACACTAGTGTTGGAAGACTTACTATCCCAGTAGCCACCACTCCAGCAGTCTCCAAACTTGAGTACGCATCAGGACCAGGGCTTGTGAAAACATGGAGCACTGGGTCCGAAACCTGGTCTCCGATTCATCAGGTCTGGGGTGAGACCCAAGAATGCATTTCTTACAAGTTCACTAATGACACTTGATCCTGGAACCAAACTTTGAGAACCACTGTACTATGCTTAATGAGGTGATACCAAACTACTATGCTATTTCAAAAGTTCAAGTACTTTCATATTAAGATTAAAGCCTTGAACTTGTAAACTAAATAAACTAAATTAGCAGTACCCAGTCTTAGGCATCAGTTTTTCATACTGTACTTGTTACCTAATAACACTGGTTGGTGGCTTGTTACCATTTTTTGGCTAAAAGCAACAAAGGCTATAAACTAATACCCATTTGGATTTGAATACTGTATCTTAATATCCAATTTGCATAAAAATGTAATTTTTTTAAGACTTCTAAGACCTGAACAATGTTATTTTGGCCTTAAAATATCCTGAAGAATAGTGATGCACCTGCTGTGAAAAGACTGAATAGCATCCAGGAGCCTTAAAGGCACAGAAAAGGAAGTACTGAGTACTGGAAGAAAAGAGCCTGAAATGTTACCCCTCCTACGGAAAAGCAGCTTATACTTGGCCAAATGCACTAGTCCCATGGGACTGTGCATCTCTAACAAGCACTGGGTGACATGATTTGGTGGTCCTCAAGACTACATTTTGCATAGCAGAGCCCTAGAATGCCATTTTAAAATATTTCCATGTAAGTTTCTATTCTTTTTTAAATACAGAAACAGATACAATACTTCAACTCACAGCATTTCATGAAGGTAAAAAATACAGTAGTAAGTTTTAACCATGCCCTGGCAAATTCATACAATGAATGTGAAAGCCACCCCAACATGACAGTATGCTTAGCAAAAATCTTTTGAAGAACAGTGTCTGGACATGACTGCAACCACCCAAAATTCAACTGCCTATATCTTTGGCTATTTTTATCACTTCGCACTTTACTCCTAACCATCAGAAAGCAAGTTCCTTACTGTAATCATAGTTGAAGCTGAAAATGTTTCTTTAGAAATGTATTGAAATTATTTAAACCCAGACACTTCTATAGTAAGAAAACTATTTATAGTAACAAACCTTTATATTGTTTTACATCAGTTTAATGGGAATAAAAGAAAAGAGTAAAAAGGGCATATTTATTAGTGGTTTACATACCTGCCAGGATGGCAAAAGTGATTGTAACTTGCATAAATAACATTCAAACACTCTACCATCCCTCCTTAGTGGTTAGAGCAATGCAGTTTATAAAACGAAAGTGACTATTCCCATTAAAGTAGGCATCAAAAATTGTTTTGAGAAAGAAGATGAAAGGAGCATTCTCGAATTCCTGGATGCCAGGAGCAGAGTTTTTCAGAATCATAAACAAAGAGAGCCCTAATTAAGAGCAAGGCCCCACCCCTCAGGGGTCATATAGTTGGTTCGGTTGCTTTTGACTAATTCATCATTTTAACATATCAAACAATTTAGTCTTTTCTTTACTCAAAATTAAAACTAAAGAGACATTGTAACACTTAAGAAATGCAAACACCCTGAGGTAGATCATTACCAGAATCTACACAAGGATTTGCTATTTAGGTACAGTTAATATAATTCATACTTAATGTCATTTCATAAAAATAAAAATAACAAGTGTCCCAATTTTCCAAGTTCCATTTTCTCCTATGATGATCACCAAAGCAATCTCTATTAAGATTCTTCATCGCTTGAGCGTAGAAACTGCTTAGTAAAATTCTCCAGCTCATTTTCAAGTTGAACAGCTTTATTTCTAATTTAAAAAAATGAATAGAACACCAATCTAATTATCATAACTCAATGACAAAAAAATCCACTGTACCCAATCTTAAAAAAAAATCACGTCAGCTGCTACTCTCTGAGCTTAAACTATTAGCAACACTTTCTTAGAGTATTTATTGTATGTGCTATACTACAGCTTTGCATTAAAGAGACTTCAATGACCAGAACTTAAAAAAGGGATATACTGAGATAAAAGATAAAAACTTTAATAATGAAATGCCTAAGAACAAGACAGTGAAGTCCTAGCACCTTATGTGGGAGTTACATCCTAAGCCATGTTCAGTCATAACTGTCTTTGGGTTCCCCTTGAGTTAAGCATATAAAGTACAGAATAAGTATTATATATAAAGTAGCTGGCAGATGTCAGGACCATGGCATACCAAAATACATTTTTAATATACTAGAATTGCACTCAGTGTAGCTAAATGCCTGTAAGGAGAGGAAAATGGAACCAAAACTGACAGGACCACAGATTTGTGTTTCCCATTTTAATACTCTGTAGGGTTGGAATGAGCTTCTCTTTTCTTTGTCTCGTTTTGTTGTTGCTGAGTGCATACAATTGAGGTTAAATGTACTTCTGAACTCCGCTATTATTTCTTTACGCAATCCTGATGAATTCTATCTGAATAGATAGAATTCTGAGTAATGTAAGTTCTATCTGAATGGATGAGCCTAATCCAGTTAACACTGGAGATTCAAATACTACGGTATTTAACATTTTCCTGTTAGAGAATGGATTAACAGATCAAAAATATTCATACTTATTCAAGTTAGTCCTGCCACCATCAGAAAGCTACATGAGTACCAGTAATCTACCTTTTATGTTTTACTGTAATAAGATGAAACATTATTTTAAAGAGTTTGAAGGTTTAAAAAAAAATACTGGATATAGTTCCACCAAATCTGAAAGGCTATATTTGGGATGATATAACTTAAAATAGAAGTAATGGAATACAGGAAATTTACTTGGGTGTGTCTTATGTGTGAAAGGAGGCTGGGGTCCAACTGATGGGCAGTTATTTTTTCCACAGATTCTAAAACTGAGGTGCAATGAGAATGTGACTGCTGATCAGATGAAAACACTGCAAATACTACCACAGGTGTTTTAAATATGTGTCCCAAAATTCAGGTCACAAGGACAGCCTTTCCAATTTGCAGGTATTTCAACTACTCTTATGTGAGCAAGTGTATGTAGCTTGTGCCCTGGCAAATAGCAGCAGGGATTAAATGCCTGAAAGTTGAGAACTGTGAAGAAGTATACCTCATGGTGACATTTCTGGTCTTGTCTCCAAATGCAAAATTTATTTAGACCCCAAAGAATCCTTGATAAATCATATTAAGCCAGAATTCCACATTATACAAGGATATCATGTTACTTCTATTTCTCCAAATTAAAGTATGCTCAACAGTCCCCAATGAGAATGGAAATTATGGATCTTCTATATATAGCACTAAAAACTCATACTTGAAAATAAAGAACTGCTCTGAAGAGGGACTAACATAGCTTAACAAAGTTGTAAATTTAGATCTAAAAAATTCAATTCACATTTTTCTTGTTGAAATTAGCTTTCAATGAAATTTCAAAACTATAGGGAATATGGAAAATTATAATTTAAGCCAATGCAGAATGTTTTAATAAAAATTCATTAGTGATGTTACATAATTATATTTTGGTAATGAGACCAATAAAAGTTCATATTGAGAAAAAAAGGTTCAAATACCTTAAGAGCTTTGAATTGTTTTGTATTTTCTCCAATTGATCTATTTCTTTGGATAATCTAGCAATTTCTTCTTCCAGATGTCTTTGCGTAATATCAACTTGTTGGCACAGGCGAGCAAAAGTGGTTGCCATTTCCCTTAAAATAAAAATATAATTATCAGCAGTCACAAATGTCTTTTAAAATGAATAAGCTCTAAAATTGAAAGCTTAAATACAAAGGAGATCACAAGTTTAACAAGTACCTAAAATACAAGTATTAAAGAACACAGCTAAGAATCGTTCTTGTAACTTGTAAACTTAATGCGACTCAGCTTAATTTCATCTAGCTTCAAGATGAATGCCCAAAAGGCAATGTTACCTCTGCTATATGACTGTGAATACGAATAAGCTATAAAAAGGCAAAAGATATGTATGTCTTCAGAAACACAATAAGCCTTACTCTTGTCCCCTGCCTATATAAATAGAAAATTACTGAAAACAGGAAAGAGAATTTCATGAACTTCTGTGACTTAGGCAAAATACTTTAAATCATAGCAACATTTAACCATGCTTCTAGAACCAGAATTATATTTATCGTGTGCTAGTTAATACATTAGATCTGGCAAACATTATATGGCTATATACCTAACAGGAGTGTACCTCTGGAATGATTAACAGACTTACTAGTTTTTCTCTACA